ATGTCCCCCCATTTACAAAATTCCAAGCACAAAGGTACAGTCTGTACTTAGTCTGGCTTGTTCAACAAACATTTAGAAGTAAATATCTAATTCATAAGAAATTTAACAGAAATTGCTAGTAAAGTTTAAATCCTTTGTTTTGAGCAGAATCATTTGAATGTATTTAACTATTAATCTCTCTCAAGATTATTCTCTTTGGTCAATCATAATTTCCACACACGAGAAAAGATACATATGGTTAAAGTTAAATAGATACTTCAAACATTAAAACACACAATGCTAAGGCTTAAACTGAAGAAGTTAAGCTTACTTGGAAGGAGAACTTGAGCTGAACAATGAAGGGATGATCTATTTTAGTTAAAATATCCCTCTCAGCTATCATGTAGCCAGCATGATTTTTTTCCATTATTCTGTCCTTCCGCATCACCTTCATTGCATAAATTTCTGATGTACCCTTTTTCCTCACTTGGTAAACTTTTCCAAATGCTCCCTGTCCTACAACCTTCAGCACCTCAAAATTTTCAATGCTTACAGCGCTGGTCTTTGTGGAGTTTCCCTCAAGAGGTTTGAGAGAGTTTTCGAGGATATCATTAATAGTCTGTTCTTCAACTTCTGTGATTGACTCCCCATTAACACACTCGAGTAAATCCACTGTGTCCTCATTCTCATGTAAAGTAAGCTTGCTTAGTTTCAGGGACTGGCTGACACAAGAAGAGGGGCCAACCAATGAGTGGGAACGCCTGTAAAGAACAGGAGGATCATCATAAACAAGCTCGCTAGCATCTGAGGTCATAAAATTTCCTTGGTCAACTCTGGTTGTTTCTGTTGGAGTCTGAACGGGTAAAGGACCAAAAACATCTGAGAAATCTAGCTCGATGTTATCAGTCACAACAGCATCTGGGAGGTTCATTGCAAAAAGCATATTGTTTTGCAATGGCTTGCACATGTTCTTCCCACTCAAACCAGCTAACTGCGAGGACACCATATTACCTAAATACTAAAATGCAGAATACAGATGGCCAAGGGATAACTATTACAGCTTGGTTGCACAAAACTCTCTAAACTACACTGCTGAGGGACTCCTGTCAACAGCCTTAACTAGGAGGAAGTTTACGTATGTGATTGGAGTCCCAAGAAACTTTGGTAGCAGGCAGAATAAGATCCAAAAAAAGAAGTTGTTCTTGTTTCCCGATTTGCAGGAAACAGTGGATACTCCAGTAGTTGTTGAACTCATGAAGAACAGGCTGCCAAATCTGCAATTTAGAGGGGATAAAATGTCATAAATTAAATTATACATAGATATAAAAAACATAATCTATCAATCAAAGATAACGCACTCTTCATAATTTCAATTTTGCTCATTGACTTGATCAAGAAATAGAAGTATTCAAGTAATCTTCTTCATATTATATCTGTCTGTGGTAAAAAAGCCTTTTTTTCAAAAAAAAGAAAGAAAGCAGCCAGAGGCGGCACAGACTCAAACCTAGATTCTAAGAATTTGAGCGAACAAGGGGAGAATACAAAGAAAGATGAAATCCAGGTTTAATTGGCTTCTACCTCGACAGTAAATTAATATAGTATTTCACAAAATTAGAATTCAACAGAAGGTATTAAAAATTTCAAAACACTAAAGATTGATAATCAAGTTTCAGAATCAACTAAGAAATCAAGAAACAAAATTGACACAATAACACAAATCGCAACCTTCATTTTTGTAAGGGATAACAAATTTTAGTCTGTTAAAAGCGTAAATATCAGAACAACAACCCCAAAAGGGACAAAAAATTTCATGCATTGAGGAATCATAAACGAAATCCCTAAGATAGATTCACAAATAATAAAGAACACACGAACCTAAAACATGAAACAGGAACCCGCAAAGGCCAAGAAAGCAAAATCACGATCGAATCAGAAAACTCGAAAAGTGATTCAACAAGAAAGGATCTTTCCGCTAGTTTGATTAAAGCCAAAGAGAAAAAAAAAAAAACAAAATTATACTAACCTAAAGATGCGAGCAAAGGCGGAACAGTCTCGTAATATTTAGAGATTACGGCTCCGCCTTTGCCGAAAAGGAAACGGAAAAATAAATAATTGGGAAAAGAAAATTACGAAGGTGGAAGGAAAAGGAGTACCTGAGAGTGAACGCGGAGGAAGGAGGCAATTCTGAGATGTTGAGAGACGGGGGAAAGTGAATTCAGCGATCCGCGGAGAAAGGGGGCCGCCCAGCCATTTAAATAAAAAACGTGAAGAATATTTTTTGTTTGGTTTTGGGTTATCGACACGTGGCATTAATCTAGTGGTTCGTCAATAAAGTGGGCAACCCAATGCGTAGCTTTTGAAAATTCGAAGCTGGGAGGAATATGCTTACCATATGCACGAATTCTTTGACCACCTCCTTTACTGAATTTATAGAGTTACATAAGTCTGTTTATGTGTAATTAAATTTAATAAAGCGTTTTTTAGTTAATATTTTAGAATAGATATATATATATATATGGATTTGCTGTTTTTTTTTTTTTGTAAAAATAATAATTTAGTAATAATAGCATCTACAAATCTAATTAATTTCTTTTTTTTTATATATAATTTTAATATGCTGAATATAAACCGAATGAATTGAATTTGTTGAGTTTGTGCAGTTTTAGATACAAAATTATTGTATTATTTTATTAAATTTTAGTTGCAAAATTTGAAAATTAACTAATTTTTTAATAAATAAATTTATTATATATTTGGATATATACATGTAATGGTCGGTTGATTTTAATTGTTACTTTGATTTAAACCGAATCCAATCTTTCTTTCTTTTTTGCTCTAATGAGCTTATTATTATTATTTTTATATAAATTGTCAAATACTTAATAAAATTAAAGTTTTAATATAACTTTTAATAAAATTAGTTATTTTTAATAAAAATAAAAGTACAGCTAGATGACAGCAAAGGAAGTCAATGATGACCTTACGTACCACTATTGATGTGATACATTGCACTGCCCATGTAGCTCCTAATATTTATTTTTAAATATTATATATATATATTAAACTAAATGAAATATAAATATAAAATATTGATTTTTCATTAATTAATTTATCATTTATAATACTATTATTTACTAAACATAGATTATATTGTAACACCCAAGAAATTCTTTTTTATTTTTATTATTATTATTATTTTATTTTATTTTAATTTAATTTATTCTATATAAATATAAATAAATATTAATAGAATTTAATTTATTTTAATGAAAATAATAATAATAAAAATTGATAAAAATTATTTAAGGATTTAATTGAAAATAATTTTGAAAAAAATAGGTAAAAATTTGGGTTCTCGGAGTATTTTTGAAAAAAAAATAAAAAATCGGAGGTTAAAACATAATTTAAAAAAAATGTGCCATGTCAACTGTCCGGTCAGAAGCCCCGACCAACCAGGATATGCCAGGTGGCAGAGACGCTGATGCGAAAGGCCACGCAGAAGGGAGCCACGTGGGCGATACGCGTGCGCGCGATCGAACAACTGAGATCCGTTCCCGCGCGCACGGACGGCTGAGATCAAAAGCGGATGGGTATAAATAACCTCATCCGCACCCAAACCCTAACCCTAGCCACCAGAGCCCCCGCCGGAGAAGACAGCCCAGCCGCTGGGGAGCCGACCACCACTACCCGCCGCCGTACCGGAGCAATTTTCGACCGTCAAATGAGGTAAAAATTCTACCCTTTGCTCAGAATTTGATTCTAAACCCACTTATGGCCAAATCAAAGCGAAAGCACTGGCCAATTGGCCGGAAAACGCCGCTGAAGCCCAACGGTGCCACCGTGGGGTGTCTCAATTTTTGCCTCCGATGAGCCCCTTTCGGATTTCCGTTTGATGTGATTTTTTCACCGTTATGATCACCATTTCCTCCTCTACAGGTTGACTGGAGCAAAACACCAAACTGCGACGTGAATTGGAGGAGTCGCCACACCGGAGAGCCCCACCGCCGGTAAGTTTCAATTTTCTGTGTTTTTTTGGCCCACTGAGAGCCCTAAGTGTGTTTTCTCACAGGAACCGATGTAAGTTTGGCTGAGTCGGCCAAAAATGGCTAAAAACAGACAACCCGAGGCGGATTGCCGCCGCGAGCGGCGGCGCCATCGCCGGAGCACGGCGGAGTCGCCGTGCTGGAATTCCAAAATTGGCTGAGTAGGCCCTGGGTCTGATTTTTGAGTTATTTGGGACATGTGTAGGTACTGTAAGCGCGTTTCAGTTCTTGAGAAAAAAATTCAGGTAATCTAGGGACCATCCGTAGGCGCAATGAAAATCTAGTTTTCGGCGTCAAATCAAGTAAGGACCCCTCACCCTATTTCCTATCATATAATTGAAGTCTGAATAAATGATAATACTGTATTTTGTACAAATTAAATAGATATGCATAATTAATTAAGGTTGCTAATGGAGACCGAACCGGACATATTTATCTGTCAATTCTTGTTTGATTTATTTTACAGTTTAAATGTATTATGGTATCTGGTTTATTTATTCTATGATTTTGAATGCATGTATCACTGCTTACTTCACTATTGTTTGATTTTGGGAATCTAAGATATGCTTGCTTTGTTGGATGCACGTTACTAGTGTATGTATTCATGTTTGAGTTGGTAACGGAGACTAAGGACAAATAGGAATGGGATGGGATTTGATAAGTGGATAAGATGACAGCCTCACTAGATATCTTGGGAGATGGTGGACGGATCGGGTTCATAGGAAATCCTACCGTGAACGTTGTCTCATACTGGACGGGGTATGGAGACTTGGTCATTTGGCGTCTATACCAAATGGGGTATGGGGATGGCCCGCTTCACCCTCATACCGGACGAGGTATTGAGTTTTATTATTTTGGCGCTCATACCGGGACGGGGTATGGAGACGGGTCTGGAATTAATTTGTTAAAGGGAATGATTCATGTGTAGCGGGGACCCCTATGGATCCCCATGGATACTAGTATACTGATAAAAGGGGTAACTGTTGTTGGATGATTTGATATAAATTATAATATGGTGCTATGNNTGAAATTGTTTAAAAATGTGCTCCATTGGGTCGTTTTTGATTTTATATCAACCTTTACTTCTGTTACGGTAATTAGTGTGATGTCCTTACTGGGCTAGTGTAGTTCATTCCTTATTTAACCATTTCAGATCAAGAGGTCCTGGTTCCCGAGCCTGATCCACAAGAAGACGACGAGTAGATGCTAGATACCTTATAGTTTCATTTATTTTTTTTATTTCTCGTATTTTTTTAGAGAACTTATTCTGTGATATTGTCTAGTACTTTTAAGTTATTGTGTAAGGGATATTAACCTTAATCTTTTATTTCGCTTCCGTACTCAGATTATTATATATATATATTTTTTGAATTTCTGGGGCCGTTACATATATAATCAGTAAATTTAGTTCAATAAATGTTAATGTTTTATTAATAAATAATTCAAAATTCAGCATCTATATATATATATATATATATATAAGATATATTCTTTAAGGGTAAAGAGAATAATATTGTATGCATAAAATTAACCATAAATGAATTACTTCTTAGATTTTTTAAGAATAAAAAAAAAAAACTTTCAATTATTACTCTTATAACTCTTGAATACCCTTTATTATGGTTGTAACTTAGTGATTGCTATTTTAGTTTGCTACAAGAAGGTAAAATAATTTAATATATAAAACATGTAAGGATTGCTTGTTCACATCTTAGTTTTTTTTTTTTTGAAATAAAATGTATATAACTCAATTTAATATTCTCATAATACAAAATTGAACCTAAAAATAAAAATTATTCAATCAAGTTGTAATATCCGGACCTGAAAAGCAGTTCAGGATAATTTTTTCTTATTAAAATAATTATTTATTTTATTTTTATTTAATTAAAAATTTATCAAAAAATGAATTAGAGACGATATTAAAAATAATTTAAAAAAAAAGAGGTAAAAATTTGAGTTCGAAAATATATTTTTTTTAAAATTAGAAATAAGGTGTTAAAGTACAAAAAAAAATGGCCACATGGGATAACCCAATCAGAAACCCTAATGAATCGGAGCATGCCGTGTGTCAAAACACACTGACGTTAGTGTCACGCGGGTGATTCGCGTGCCCAGCGATCTAACGGCCCAGGTTCGATAACACGCGTATGAACTGTTTAGATTCGTTCATTCCTTATGCGCGATTGGACGGATGAGATCAATCGTGATTAACGGTTCAGATCGATGCAGGATGGGTATAAATACCTCGCATCACAAGAGAACCCAAACTTTAACCACCAGCCCCCACCGGAGAAGAAGAATCAGGCACCAGAGAAGGAGGCTGACTGCCGACTGTCGTCGCACTGAAGCCACTGTTGACTGCCAAAAAAAAGTAAAATTTCATCATATATATTTGGAATTCGATTTCGAGCATCTCTGTGGCCAAATCGGAGCAGGAGAGACGGCGAGTGAGCCAGAAACTACGAGCAAATTCTAACGGAGCCGCGGCGGCCAAAACTCAAAAATTCCTCCGATGAGCCCCTTCTTGCTTCCCATTTCACGCAATTTTTTGATCACTGTATTGACCGTCTATTTTTGTGCAAATTAGCCGAAGAAGGAACCCCAGCCGCGAAGGAGGATCGGTAGAGTCGCTGTACTCGAAGACCCCTTTGCCGGTAGGTTCAGCTTTTCTGTGATTTTTCAGCCAACTAAGACTCCCCAATATGTTTTCCATAGGGATACGTGTAAAACTGGTAAAAATAAGCTAAAATCGAGCAAAACTGGCCAGGGTAAGGCGAATCACCGTCGTGGGCGGTGGAGCCAGTGCCGGAGCACGACGACATCGCCGTGCCGAAATCTCAAAATTGGCCGAAAAGAGGTTTGGATACGGATTTTGGATTTTTAGGCGTATTTTTAGGTACGTGACGAATGTTTTAGATTCCACATGAAAAATTTAAGAAATCCGGCATTCGTTAGGAGTCGTGGTAAACAGTGC